CACATTTCACAATTGATGACACGTCTACTTCTGTTCTGTTTGAAAACCGTCTATCTTTGAGACAACCGTATTCACTGCACGTGAGGGGCCTTTCTGAGGAAACCGGTGTGTTGCTCGAATATCGTCTGATGGCTCCCGCAGCATGCCCGCCACCATGGCGGTGGCAATTGATAGGTTGTGATGTGACTTTTTGAGATTACGAAGCATGCACCCATTGCACATATCTGCACATACTTCCTGGAACTACAACCAACGTAAACATGCTCTGAGTTCTTTACAGATGCCTCAAAGTCCAACACTTCTGTTTCATACGCAGCCATTAGCCTATCCTTCTCAGATACTGGCATCCTGCATCTTGATGCAAGCATTTTAACAGGAGAAGCTTACGCAATACTTGCAGCTGTTAAACACATTGCACATATAAAACTACAAAAAGCGGTAATTTGCACTGATTCTCTGAGTGTGGTGAAAGCCTTGAAAACACTTAAAAAACGCAAAAATCCAGTTCTTTAGTTCCTTTATTCACTCTTATGCACAGTCTACTCATCCAAACAGCATGTTGTAGTCTGATGGGTGCCGGGGCACCGTGAAATACAGGGAAACGTTTTGGCAGATCAGCTGGCCGCATCCGCCAGCAACGATGCCGCTAATGAATCAATACCAATCCCTGCACTTTACTTGAAGCCTTTCCTGAAACGAAAGCTCAGAGGTTATGTGGGATAGACACACAAGTAATAAACTACATGTTATTAAGCCAGAACTTGGTCATTGGCCGCCACTATCAAAATCGCGACACACAGAAATAACACTTACAAGGCTAAGAACAGGGCATACATACTCTACATTCATATATTCTGTCTGCCGGTGATCCACCATTGTGTGCGAGATGTGGAGAACCACTTACGGTTCTCCACATCCTCGTCCAGTGTAGTGAGTTGGATGCTCTAAGAAAAAAGCACTTTTTATTTCCCTACCGACAGCAGCTCCCAATACACCCTGGGATGTTTAGCGGTAGCGAACCGATTTTTTAAATTCACTCATTGTTTACGTTTTTAAATGATGTACATAGTTTTCACTGCATATTTCAAGGTGATCTGTAGCAGGACCTGTGGTGACTACATCTCCGCCATAGTCTTATTATCATGACCTTTCGACATTCACTCTCACTGAACATATTTCACGCCACTGTCATGATTTTAATACCTACCTTTTTACCCGCGCTAGCACGAGGAATTTTAAGGCCCCTTTACAGCCACGCATCATATCATTGTTCATATCTCTAGTCTATCGAAATGGCACTCTTTGGCCATCCATTGGCCCTTGTGCCATTAAAAAACCACTCATCAGGAGAGAGAATGTGACTGCAGCCTGCGACAAATCTTTATAACTCCACTCGTACTATACAAAAAAATTTTTTCGCCAATGAATTCATGAGGCAATGAGCTCTTTTAGTGAATCCACTCTATGGTTACTTGAAGAAGTGCTTCAAGGCCCCTTTAATGGTATAAAAGCTTAAATGACAAGGTTGCCAGCGTAATACTCAAAACCTTTGGATTTAGGTTTTTTAACTATTCAAAAGTAATATCTAATATTAGTGTACATAAAAATGAAACTCTATGCCGAGCAATGACAACCTTGAAAAGAAAAGCTCGCGTTACAATAAAATAAATACGGAACCTAAATTACTCCCATGTTGTCCAGTAAATTATCCTTTTGTTCTGAAAGTGTTGTTCTGGTTTACCTAAAAAGGCCCTGCAACACTTTTAAGTAATTGTATAATGGCATATTAAGAGAGGTAATAGACTGCAGCAATGTTTTTTAGTATCTATCAAGCACAAGCGAAGTTGCAGGGATTTGCCGCACACATTACTATCTTTCAACTCCCCTTTCATACCAGCGAGCACCCTGAACGCTACACATGAAATATCACAGCAAGCGTACAAGGAGATGCGTTCCTTCGTCAGCGCGTCATGACTTTGAGAACTGTTTTTTTTTTATTTTTATTTAAATTAGCGCTTTACTTTCAGTGTGATCATGGGCGCTAGCGGCACCCTGCAGCGTTCACGGTAACTTTGCAGCTGACGACGCTCAAATCATCCATGGCCTTAGGGTATGTGGCGTTGTAATTGGGGTATATCCCTTCATTTGTAGAAAGAAGAAAGAGCGATTTGTAGCTGACTTTGAAAAGTAATTGTAAATGACAGGCTGCATGCTGCGCTATATTTGATTTTTGCTTTGTGTACTCTTAGGTACCTCGACTACTGAAAGGCAACGTTTTTTGACCTTGCTGAAGAAGTGTTGCAAGGCCCTTCATTATGGTGCCTATACCAATGGGCAATAAAAAAAACAGAAATGTAATTGAAGAATCTTCGCTTCATGAGCGCTTTCTTCTGTAGAGTACAGTAGACTCTCAATAAATGGAACCTGAAGTGATCGGGAAACTATGTTTCATCGAACAGGAGTTTCGTTTACTGAGAGGTGAACATAAGTGCAGAATACAAGCCTGAAACCAAGCACTGCAGAGGCAATAGTTTCGTTTAAGCAGTAGCTCCGTTTAACAGATTTCCGTTTACTGAGAGTCTACTGAAGTTGGGCCTTTGTTAGGTTTATAGAAGTGATTTGGGTGCACGTTAAAGATCATCAGGCGGTCGAATTTTCCGGAGTCCTCCACTACATCTCTCATAATCATATGGTGGTTTTGGATTGTTAAGCCCCACATATCGGTCAGTCAATCAATCAATCAATCAGGTTTATGATACACCTTTAGCCCAATTTCCTCATTTGCTATGTTTGCTGCAGACTGGAATAAGGCTTTTTAAATATGTTTTGAAAGAGCACCTACTAATAAAGCTAAGGGGATACAGTGAAATCTTGGTAGAACAAACCCCACATTAAGAACTTTTCAGATTGAGGAACATTTAAAAATCCCGTGCCTACTGCTAATAGTTTCAATGTAAAATTATTTCACTACTACAAACTTCGGAATACCGAACTTTTCAGAATAACGAGCGTTAATTTAGTTCCGCATTATAGTATTAAGAACGCCTCTGAAATCTGTCGCGACCACCGGAGCAGTATGCAGACAGACGACAAAGTGAACGGACGCCTTGCTTCTCAGAAGATGCGCGACGGTGCGGAGGGGAGGAACGAAACGGTGACTTTCTTTCTTTTTGTTGAAGTGCTGACGCTGCAGGTTTACAAGCACAGAGGCGAGGGGCGAGGGCAATATGGGAGGGCGAAGTCAGCGAGACAGTGTGGGAGTTGCCAAGGAAGAAGCATGGGCGCAGAAAACCTGAGACAGTGAGGGAATGGAAAATGAAACGCGAGGAATTTTTTTTTTTCAGCGTTTGTTTTTTCTTCGGAAGAGGCGATCACAGCCGCAACGCTTCGGGTTTTTTTTTCTTTGTCACTTCTACATGTGCTTTAGGAGGTCTTGTTTGTCAGTCGTGTTCATCTCTTTTCGGTGATTACCTATCGCATCCACAAAGCAAGTTGGTATTCGTGCTGTGGTGCTACTACAAATGAGTTCATCTCTGCTTGCGATGAAGAAGCGGAAGCAGTTTTCGCTAAGCGAGAAAGTGGATATTCTTTGGCAACTGGAAGGCAAAAAGCAAGCTGGTATGACAAAAAAACCGAATGGCACCCAGGAATGTGGATGAACTGGAGGCCTTCGCACTGCAGTTTGTGCTGCATGCGTAAAAAAAAAATAATAATAAAAAAGTCACAGAATTTTTAAAAATAAACATGCATTTTTTGGTGTTCACTTGTGCATTTGTTTTTTCTCGTGAAAAACAAGTTCAAGGACCCACCGTTGCAAAGGTAAGTCGTTTTGGTCGGTTGAAAATAAGTATTTGTGGTTAATTTTTGGGCTTTCACTACAACAACCTTTCAAAATAACGAACGAATTGCCATGGCTCCCTGAAGTTCGTTATAGCGAGATTTCACTGTATTCCTCATTTACTCTTTATTTTAAGTGTGTATCATTTTAGGGGCCTGGATTGTGGTTCATCAGTGAATCTTGCGTGGTGTGGTCACACTTGCAGTAAGGAAACAAGGGAAAATTGGGGATAGAAGAAAGGCAGGGATGTTAATCAGTCTGACACTACCAGTATGCTTTCCTGCACAAGGGAAAGGGATGGGAGAAATAAAAGATGAGTATAGAAAGAGAAAAAGGCAGGCGGAGAACACAATGCACACACATGTCACAGAGCACAGCAGCAGTCTTGCGGGGTATATGGCACCATTACGAGTCTGCAGCCGCTTGTGGAAGTCTATTGTCCTTGGAAATTTAGCAATGCCTTGGTTGCTTGAATTTTCGAAGACTGTTCGGGGTGACATTGGAGCATAATTTCTAGTGGCATTGGCCTGTTGTCAAGCTGAGCGATTGAAAGAGATCAGTCTCTGCACAGCATGTCGAGGACAGCTGCTCGCGGTAAAGCGTTCAGTACAGACCATAGCACGGCTAGCGATGTTCATAAGCAGTTTAAAATAAGCGAGAAAGGTTTACAATAACAGAAATTATCATGAAGTGATGGATATAACTAATAGAAGATTGGCAAAAACTTCTTGAAATCTTCAACTGACTACCAAGCCGCACAAGAGGGGGCACGGACCGTTTTGCCGAGTCAAGCAAATGCCTCACCCCCGTACGCTTCGTCGGCGCTACAACGCTTCACCTGATGGAGGAAACAACCTGACCAAACTCGCTACAGACGACACATATATCCAAACTGCCATGGCATGCTCCCGGGAAGTTGATGAAGCATGGCAAAAAGTAGCAGCGCACACGTTCTACACTGAGTTTACGAGTCTCCCTGACAAAGATTATACTCGTGCCAAGAAAACCCTGCCTGCTTACCTCAAACATCAACCTCATGGATGGTTTAGTTAGGGGAGCAGTTGGAACTCTACAAACTGGAATTGCTTGATGCTGGTGCTGCATGCTTCCTCTGGTTTAAAGTATCGCTGCATCGCATTTTTTTTTCTTTTCTTCTCTTCAGTTCGTTTCTGGCAAAGAGATTCTGCTGTCATTTCTTGGCACGGTCAGACAGGATCGCACACTTGAAGAATCGGTGTACGGATTCCTCAGTTGGACTGCTGAGTGACAAAGCGTTCATGAATAGGGCACAGGCAAAGTATCTCAGAGCCATGGACCACCTCGCCGTTTCTGGTGCCTTCACTGGAGCTCCGCCTGAATTTGCTGAGGCGTTTCAGCGGGAGGCCTGGATTAAAACATGCAGGTAATTTTTTGCATCTTCGATACAGTGTCCCTGAACACTTGCAGGAGATGCATCCGAGGTCTTTCTTCTGAGGGGCTCACTGAGATTTTTTCGATGCTCATGGTCCCCAATAAATAAAAAAAAAATGTCGTTGAAATAGAGCTGGTAACTGCCACTGGCTGAAAATCATGGCAGTGGTGGGCAGTATATAGAGATTCCGAGATGACTGCTGGTATTCCTTAGGAACAACTCTCTACTTGATTTTGAGGTTTATCAGTGGCACCTTTGTATAATACATGCCCTAAACTCTTTTCAACTTAGGATCAGAAAAATTTGTGTGTGTTCTGTAGAAGCTGGATCAATGGTACTGTAGAAGACTGAAGATAACCAGGGAACTACATTTACGGAGATAAATGTGTGAAGGTGTTGTACTGTGTGCGTACACCATTTCAACCCTGTAATGCCTGTATCATATTGCATACATTGAGTATAATACTTCAACAAAGCTACTAAAAGCTACTATAGGTGTCACAATGAGCAGCTATTTAAGATTTGACATGTTATGAAGAAGGTAGAGTGACTTACATTTTATGCAATAGTAATTGATTATTTCTAAATAACACTAAATAAGTTGTGCCTCAAACTAAATTTCATTCATACTTTTCTTAAAATGAACTCTAAAAGAAGAGTTGGCATTTTCTCGCATTATTTCTGAAGGCATAACTGTTCGTGGGCGTTACAGGGTTGATACCATATTAACAAACTTGAAGCAGTAGAAGGTGAATGCAGCTCGATGCTTTTCAGAAAGCAGAGGTTATTACAGTGATCCTTGGCACAGAATTCCCAAACTTTATTTTGTGAATAATACACTCTCTGTGCACTAAAGAATGCATAATTTATTGCTTGCTTTAGTCAAACATGACGCCAAACCGTTTGCGGCACAGTGTGGCGTCTCCAAGTTCAGTGGTGCAATACAATTTTCTGGCGCTATATGTTATCGCAGTACGCAGTTGGTATGCACTAACCGGTAGGCTCAATAAAATCGAGAGCTAGGCTAGTTGATGACTGATCATTTTAGGTTGAGACTCGGTAGTGTAGTGGTCGCAACGTTTTAACCGCTAGTATGCTTAAAGTGGGAACAGTGGAACTTAGATTATACGTCCCCTGATATAGCCACGACCCGCATTTTACCACGAATCGGTTATGTCCTGGCAAAATCCCATAGGAATAATGTATTAAAAACCTTGGTTATGATGCACTTTTTTACTCCGACCCCGCATCTTACGATGTCATTCAGATTTCGTCTAAAAGAAAGAAAACGCCTTTACTCGGATCAAGCGTAGACCAAATATTCATGAGTGCAAAATAGAAACTTGCATTCTCCTAGGTTGGTGATTAGAAAAGTAGAGAGCGAGATAGTTGTGTTCTTAGAATGCAAAATTTATTCTCCTGGAAGTTATGCGCTTCTACACACACCGTAATCACGTGTGTACGTATCTGGGGTCGTTACCTAGTCAATCCCTATTCACACAAAGTAGCTCTGGCCTGCCGAAAAGCTGATATTTTCACGTTTTTGGTCTATGGAAACATTTTCTGGTTGACCTACATTGCCGCACTCGCAGTCACAGGCTTGCAGATGCATAAGGGTGCGAGGCAGCTGTTTTCATTGTGAAAGATAATTTTCACTTGACGTCGACGTTTGTACTAACAGTGGGACATCACTAGTTGCACTTCAGAAGGCCACAAATTACAACATACATAGCTCAGCCGCACACGAAGGCATTCAACGCACACTTGTGGTCGGTCGCCATTATGTGATAGCGATGACAGTGTGTGTCCAACTCTTTCTGATGGGAGGCTATTGGCAACGGGGTTTTGTTTTCGTTTTCACCGGCAGGCAATTTTTGGACTCTATTTATCGGTAGAAAGATGTGTGTTGTGTTCAATTATTTTTAAACTTGAAAATAGAGATTCGCTTGCATCTCTTTCGACCAAGTTTCGTTGCCATTAGCTGTCGCTGGCAAGAATAATTTAATATACCTTTGTAGGAGACGCACAAGGTCGTGCTGTGGGCTTATTCAGGCAGTCTACACTTATTTTTTGGGGCAAGGCTCAGTGTGATTGCTATATTCTTTGTTTTTCGATTATACGATACCCGGATCATACGATGGTTTTGCGTGGTCCCCTGAAAGTCGTATAATTGGGGTTGCATTGTACTAACAAGGTTTGACTGTACTAGATCGTATATATTAATGGTATAGTAAATGTTCCACTAACAAATCAAATGGTAATGTATGCGAATGACACAAATGCATTCTTTTCCGGTACTCACCTTCAAGAACTAGAAATTAAAGCAAATTCTTGGTTGAACGAACTTCACCAATGGCTACAAATAAATCAGCTTTACTTAAATGCTAAGAAAACTAAATTCACTATCTTTTTGTTCTAAGAATAAAGAAGTAAGCCATGTTGTGAAGCTTTTTTACAACGAATTGCAACTAGAGGATGTGACAAGCCATTCTTTTTTAGGTATTACATTTCAGAAAAACCTAAGCTGGATGGAGCACATAAATAAATTTTGAGCTAAGGTTGCATGATCAGCCGGCCTATTACAACGAATTCCATGCTATGTGCCGCTTAAGCTCGTCAGACAACTGTACTTTTCTCTTGTACATTCTCATCTTAGCTATGGCTTATTAGTATGGGGGAACGAAAACAAAACAGACATTGAAAAACTGGCAGTACTACAACGTCGAGCTGTTCGTTTGCTAAACTTTTCAAATGAATACATAGGGCCTTCCAAATTAATGGTGCATTACAGTATTCTTAATATTAGAAACTCTTACAGAGCAAAGATCTGCATTCGAATATTTAAAGAAGTCTCAACAAACTTTGAGGCTTTTTCAAACTGGTACCTCAGTCGAAAAACAGGATACAGTTTATGCCGCACATCAATGGTAACTAAGAAACCTAGGACGAACTATAGCATGCAAACCATCGAGTATGAAACTATGTGTTTATGCAATATGTATCCTACTGTTGTTGAAGTAGCCAGAAATTGTAAAATGATTCAAGAATTTAAACACTTAATAATTGACATGTTACTTGAGTTGGATGCACATGTGTTGTGCAATTTTTAATGTAACTTTCACTACACAAATAATATTAATATTCAATGATAGCATCGTAATGTTATTAATGGTTATTGTTATTAGTATAGCTGATTACCATATAATTGATGTTTTATTGTTTTGATTGCATTAATGCTTATGTTATTACTGTCATTACATCATTACTTTATGTTCATTACTGTCACTACATTATTACTATAGTTGGTGACTATGAGCTTGCTATAATATGATTGTGTACTTCTTGGTTCAGAATTTTTAAAGTTGACTTGTTTTCAAATCCGTTGTTTCTGCGGCCCCAGTGTGGTAGGGCCTGCTCAGGAAGTTTGGATCCTCCTTTTGCCTTACCCTGCGGGCGTACCATGTATGCGTGTTGTGCCAAAAAAAGTATAGATATTGTTTTTTGCAATCCAAACATTTCTTGCATGCTATTGGAAATAAATAAAAAGATATCTAGAAGCTTTTACTTGCCACTGTATTCAAGCTGGGCTCTTATAATTGAGGAATTTTTTTGTTGTTAGTTAAAAAGTCTTAATGTTCCTTTTTTAATGTTTGTGAATATTTATTTCAAATAAATTCTATTGGAAATGTGGGATTGTATTGGAAATGGTTGTTTTACTATTCGAAACCTTATTCGAATGCAGTGCGTATTTAATCTGGTGTCATTGCTATTCGATTTGTACACGATTGGTTTATAGAATTCATCATTTGCACACCCCTAATAATGATGTTCCCAAGTGCCATAATTGTGTAACACAAATTCTTTCTCACTTCAGGTTAAAGTCGTTTCTTACACTGGAGGCCTTGTCAAGCTTCCTTGCCACCTGGCTCCAGTTTGAAGGAGAAGCGAGGAAAAAAGTTCTCACCAAGCTCTTTAAGTTTCTGCAGCATCCATGGAGCAAAGTGCGCAAGGCAACTGCACTCCGTCTCTGTGAATCTCTCATGCTGTACTCGGTTTTAGAAGATGAAGAAAAGCTCGAGGAGGCTTGCAGGCTTCTCACCGAGGTTGACTGGAATGGCAGCGAGGTTGACACCTCCGTAGAAAGGCTGAGGGCGCTATTTGGCATAGAAAACAAGAGCTAGTAAAGAACTGCGCTCATTGCTTAGCTTCTCGCGTGTTCTGTAAAGCTTGTGAAGTTTTTATTACTTATTTAATAAATAATACCAAAATCTTGTAACCCTCTTGATGCAAAATATCTGTCATACGTTTTGAACGTGGTAAGGTCACGGCTCTCTGGACTGAGCGGTAACTGGTGTTATGCAGAAGATAAATCTAGCTTTGAGAAACGCTGTGCCCCAGCCCAGCTGTGCAAGAGTTCCTCAGTTTGTGGCAAAGGAAAACAGTTCACTACCACAGTTTTGTTTGACTCCCGTAAGTCAACACAACATGTGAAGGGAGCCGTCTTTTTTTCTGGCAACGACAATAGGGGAGACCCACTCTGAAGAGTCGACACGCGCAATGATGCCCCAAGCTTCTAATTTCGATTTCTCAACTTCTGCCGGGATTTTCTCGCGAATTAAGAGTGGTAGTCGTTGCAACTTGCTGGCCTTGTGACTGAAACCTCTCACAGTTTCCAGCTATATTGCACAGGGTCTCAAAATGGAACGTTATTTTAGAGCTAGCACTGGAGTTCCTTGCATCATTAGAAGATAAGCAAGTGGTGACCCTTTAATCTTCATATCCAGAGCTGCGATGCTATCTAATTCAAGAATGATTGTTCCCCAGGCAAAACGTATAGTAGAATGGAAGTGCATCGACCATGAAATGAGGCAGTAACAATGAAACATTCTTGTATAGGAATAGCTGCTTCGGAATAATTGAGAAGCTGGACGGACGTAGACTTCAGTGGATACGCTTTAGAAAAATGGCTTTAGTAGAGTTCTTCAGGCAGAATTTAAACTGATAATCCTGTATCAATCAAAAATAGTACAGAAATTACTTCAATTTCCAATGCTGCACAATTCCCTTTTTTGCGGCTCCAGATCTGGCAGACACTTAAGCGGTCATCCTGATCAGCTCTTTCGTTACCTTCTGCTACATTCTGAACACTCTTTTCAAAATTCCGCAGTGACTTGCACGCCTTTTCAAAATGGCCTATATTTTTTCACATTTTTGACTCTTATGTGCCTTTGCCTTGCACTGAGAGCTATTTGCAAGGTGTGCCGTAGAGCCACAACGATAACATGCTTGTTCTTTCTGAGATATGCACCTTTGAACATGCCTGTTATAGCAAGTACACGTGCTAAAATGTCATTCTGTGTGATTTAAGTATATTTCACACGATCAACTTGAGTCATTTTCTGCAAGTTCTCTTCATTACAGTAAAAGTTCGTTAATTCGAATTCCACGAGAACGCTGAGCAATTTCGAATTAAACAAAATTCGAAATAATGAAAGTAAGCAAAAATGGGTGGATTTCGGGGGTGGGGGCACGAAAAATATTTATTGGCCAAAAAAGTCGGTGATGACCATCTGCTTCTTTTCTCTGAATGCCACAGCTGCGGCTCCCTGTCCCAGCGCGGGGACGCGGCGCAGGGAATCCTCTTCACCCTCTTCAAAGCTGAAGAAGAGACGCACCACATTAAGTGCCTCCATTACCGCAGAAGCTGACGGGCGCACAGGCGCTTCGTCATTTTCGTCTTCCTCACCCTTCTGGCTCTTCAGCCTCAGGCTGCGCACCGGCTACTTGAGCGATAATGTCCTCATTAGTCAGGGCACCACACACCGATGCACCGGTGTCAACTTCAACATAATCGGCAAAACGTACGCCCCGAAGAGTGTCGCGCAACGCCACTGGCATGAGCTCCTAAGCCCCATCGACGTCGACGTCACAACTATCCTGCGCACTTCCAGCTGCAAATCCACTGTGGCAGAAACAGTTTGCGATTGTGGTCGCGGTCACCTGTTCCCATGCGCGCACCAACATGTGCATGGCAGTGAGCAGCTTAATGCCGAAGTCCTTCCTGTCGTCCGCGCACAAAATCATTTGTGAACGAACAACGTGCTCGAGGAACAAAGTGACGCTGCCGGGAGCGGCCTAGGACTGCTAGGACTACTCCACCGACTCCTCAGCGTCTCGTGGGTCCCGCGTACAAGTGGCGCCAGGCGCTGAGATAGCGGGAGAGCTACGAAAAAAAAAAAAATTGCTCCCTTGATTTTGGATGCCATACTTTGCTCGCTCTTTGCTCGGAGGCCACTTGAAGCTCGAAAAAACTGGTCGTGCCACCTATCGTTCGACCGTAAAAGCTTCCACCAGTGTTTGATGATGATGACGCTCGGCGGTGCGTGCTTCGAGTCATCCGTAGAGGCAGCAATTTCTGTTCGAATTAACGTATCGTTTTACACATGGTCTCCTATGCACTGCGGCGACCATTTCGAATTATCCAAAATTTCAAAATAATGAGGTGTGAATTAACGAGCTTTCACTGTAGTCGCTTGATCGTGCTGTTTGGCAATGGGGCCTTAGAAAGCGTGAGAGACTCTTCCAGCAGAAGGCTTTCATGTAAGTATCCACTCGCAGTTTTCTCTATGAGCTGGTCACGTATCATGTCGTTTGTTAGGCCACCGAAATTGCATGCTCATACGAGACTTCCCAGCGTGGTAACGTAATCAGCCGCAGTCTAGCCTGGGGCCTGCATACGTCAACAGTGACGGTGACGCGCTGCAGTGACGTTCAACGTGATCTTGAAGTGACCTTCCCGCATTGCAATGGCTTGGTCGTCCCCTTCAGGACTAAGAGACGTCAGTGTACCTGTGGCAGCGCTCGCAGCCTTGAGGCACTGCTCATCTGTAGTCGTCAGAATCTCGAAGATACGTTGTCCTTCCAAGCCCAAGCAGTTGAGCAGGATCACCTTCCGTCGAATGGCAGGTATATCGGAGGCACCCGAAGCAATCGTGTAGTTCTGAAAGTCTGTACCCATTGCTCCCATGTTATTTCCCGGTGTCCAGGTGACGACAAAAACAGAGGTGGTGGCTGTAGTCCTGAAATACTCATCGTAGAAATTGGCAGGCAACAAACAAAGGCACAGATGAGGTTCAGGCCGGTGGCACCTGGCACATTGGCTGGAGAATCTTAGGTCACCGAGCGCGTGCCATGGCACAACGCTTTAGTTGGTAGAGACACCTTATATAACAGAAAGCTGTAATGAGATCACAACGCTGGTTGCGTGCCCGCCGTAGCTGTCCGCCGCCGCCGCTGTCCGTAACCACTATTGTACGAAATAAGTGAAAAATGCAGATCCCACGTACAGGAAGAATCGATTATATGCGAAGCACGAATGAGGAAGGTTGATATGTCGCTTTAAAATCAGCACAGTCTTACGAGGCGGACGTAAATTATGCAGTTCATGACTTCCATGTCATGATTATCATGTTTGCGCCTGGCATTTGCATTCGTCATCCCTTCAAGTCACGTAAAAAATAAATTTTGTATATTTACGCATATGTAGTCATGCTCTTACATGACATGCATTTCATCATTATCGTGTTTGTAGCAATCGTATACCTTCGTCATTCATTGACCTCACGGAACACCAAATTTGATATATGTGAAGCTAGCGAAACGGCTGCGAGCGTGCTATGGGCATAGCATGTAGTCATGTTTCACATGACACGCATATCATGTTTATCATGTCTGGATGTGTCAGTTATCTTCGTTGTCCATTCACATCGCATCGTGTAATACCAAATTTGGTATATGTGAAGCTAGTGAATTACGGCCACAAGTGCTTCTTGAGCATGGTATGTAGTCATGTTATTACGTGACACGCATGTCATAATTATATTTGCACCAGTCATATACCTTCATCATCCATTCACGTCACGTAATACCAAATTTGGAATATGTGAAGCTAGCGAAACAGCCGTGAGCGCACTACGAGCGGAGCATATGGTGTTGATATGGGGGGGTTTAACGCCCCAAAACCACCATATGATTATGAGAGGCACCGTAGTGGAGGGTTCCAGAAAATTTTGACCACCTGGGATTCTTTAACATACACCCAAATCTGAGCACACGGGCCTACAGCATTTTCGCCTCCATCGAAAATGCAGCCGCCACAGCCGGGATTCGATTCCGCGCCCTGCATGTCAGTAGCCGAATACCATAGCCACTAGACCACCGCGGCGGTGTCATGTTTCACGTGACATGCATGTCATGATTGTCATGTTTGCACCGGTCATATACCTTCATTATCGATTCGCGTCACGTAATACCAAATTCGGTATAAGTGAAGTTTGCAAAACGACTGTGAGTGCACCATGAGCATGGCATGTAGTCATGACTTACATGACATGCATGTTATGATTTCTATGTTAGGGTCTGTCACTTACGTTCACCGTGCAGTCATGTCATACCATACCAGTTTTGCAATATGTCGTGAAGGAAACCACCGCAAGAGCAGCAAGACAAAGACCTATAAATCATGACATAAATGCCATGATTTTCATGCAATGACGAAACTGCCAGGAGAGCTAAATGTCGTAGGCGGCTAGATAGATAGATAGATAGATAGATAGATAGATAGATAGATAGATACGCTAAATGTCGGCGAAGTTTGCTAAGAAATGCTTCGCATTTATATTTGAAAATAAAATAGAATGTGATATGCAGGAAAAGACAATGCGAAATTTGAAAAATAAAATAGAATCCTGACTACGTCCACAGCAAGACAAAGGCCTCTCCCATGTTCCGCCAGTCAACTCGGTCATGCTATTCATAATGTCATGTTATTTCATACAAATTTTGGTATCGATACCATTATCGAGACGTCCAGGAGAGCTAAACGTCGTAGGTGGTTGGATAGATAGATAGATAGATAGATAGATAGATAGATAGATAGATAGATAGATAGATAGATAGATAGATAGATAGATAGATAGATAGATAGATAGATAGATACATAGATACGGTCAAAGTCGCCGAAGTTAGCAAAGAAATGCTTCGCATTAAAAAAACCTGAGTAAATAAAAGCACCAGCGACCATCGGATTCGAACCCGGGTTGGGTTCCCTGTGTGCCAGCCCAGTATTCTACCAGAGCCATGTCGGTGCTTGCGACTCCTTTGAAAACTGGCCTTAGGCAGGCTTGATCTCAGGAAAGGAATCGCGTTAATTTGAGTAATATGGAGTTTGTGAACAGCAACGGAAGAACCAAGTGTCGCATAATGCGAATTGCACAG